TCAATTGAGTTTTTTTAAAGAAAAAATTAATTTTAATTTTAAATTTAATTAATTAAAGAATTTTTTAATTGATCTGTTCTTAATAGATTCTACAGTGATTAAAATATTTTTTTTTTTAAAGTTTGTCTAAATTTTTTTGTAATTGAATTGAATAATCGAATTGTTTTAATTTATTTTTAATATTTTTTTTTTTTATTTTTTTTTAGAAATGTTGAGTGGAAAAAAAAGTTTCAAGAAATGATTGCTTTACATTAAAATGAAAACCGTCAAAATTTTAAATTTTCCTTCTGATTTCGATATTACAAAGATTTCAATAAAAAAAAAAAAGATTTTCATAAAAATATATTCAAGGAAAAAAAAAAAGGATTTTCAATTAAAAAAAAATTAATCATTTCATAACTACTTCATTGAAATATGTGAAACAATAAACACTTGATTCATTAGAGGAATGGATTTTGAAATTTGTTTTAAATGCGACACGAAATTTAATTTCACAACATTTAAAATTAATTTCATTTATGTGCAATTATTCTTCGATTAACTCGTGCAGTATTTTATATTCCTTTTGGTTGTGTATATTTTTAGAAATTGCATTTGATAGTTACTTAAATGTATCGTTTCATTGAAGTTAAGAGATATCGTTTAACATTAATATGACATTGTTTAAAAAAACAACAACATTTGAAACGTTGTAGAATAGTTACAAATTAATTAATTAATTTTATAGTTCTAATTACAATACTTTTTCTTTTCGTTTACCAAGTTGTAGTTAAAATATTTTTCGTTATTGATAGCACCTGGGAAGAATTGATTTCTAAATATTGTAATATATATGCTTTTATTGATAAAAAGATGAATGGTTTAATGCATTTAATTTGTTTAAGGCCCGATTCGTGACTCAGTGATAACGTGCGCCGCTGATATTAAGGCTGATTGGTTTGGTGTGGTTTACCGCTCTATGGTCATTTTGTGCACATTTTGGGCTAATTAAACTGGATAGTACAATTTAACGTGGACCATTCACAAACATCCATACCACCGCTAGGATTCAAACTTGAAGCCTGTGGTTCCAAAGGTCAGGGTGCTAGCCAATTGTCAATCAGGTGCCCATTAGGGCTGAGGTTCAATCCGCTGGCAGCTTTGTTGTAGATACTGTTTCAAAAAACGAGGAGGCGTTTGAGATGTTCAGCATAATGCCTCGTTCGTTGGACTACCTGATGGGAGTTTTCCGAGTTTTCTCAAATACGATACGAAAATGCGGGTTCCTTAAAAGTCCACCCGGAAGGCCCTCTTTTTTTAGCGACACGGAGTCAAGTCTTCTGCCTACGGGTGCTCCATCACAACAGAAGCTGCCCTTTCTCTCCATGCTTGAGTAGACTACACATGGGATGTCCGTCCCGCACTGCAGAACACTGAGTCGCACAACATTTTTTGTATGCTCAATATAATAAATAGAAGGTAGGTTTCAAATATGTTTTTATTGAGTCTACGGAAAATGTCTTTTAAAAGATCGCCAAATATTTTGTGCTATTATTTACTCTCCACTATTTCTATTGAAAATGTCATTTTTAAATGACATTTTATGCATCAAATTAAAAAAAAAACCTTTAAAACTTTTTTCATAGATTTATCTTGTACAGATGTATTTGTATTGAAAACCCTTTTACAGTGAAAAATCCATATTAAATCTGTTAACAGTCTTTACAGTTTTAAATCCAAAATGCAAAGTTCTAGTATTATTCATAGTACAAATAGGCGTAATCAGGTGCATGACATTCTTGGTACGCAACAGAATACGGATTTGCGTCCGTGTGAATGGCTGCATTTAGCGAGAGCCTAAAGAGTTTTTCTCCAACTGCAGCCGCCCATTGTTCTGCAAGTAGGCCAAAGGCTCTTTACGCGCCACAAACGTCCCAATCCGCTTTTCCATTGATCCTCTTGTGACGTCTGAGGCACGTGTGCGTGTATGCAAATCCTGGCGCGCAATCTGTGGTAATCGACTTTGACGGAATGTAAGTACCATAATTTCCTATAATCCGTACAGCACGCAGGCGTAATGTGTGGCCCGAAAAAAAATATCTCGTATACTCCGCAGTGGCGTACAGCGGCCTGGTGGCCAAGTGGCTAGCGCTCTGGCTTTTGGTATCCCAGACTTCAGGTTCGAATCCTGGCGGTGGCATGGATGTTTGTGAGTGGTTCGGAATCCACGTTAAACTGTAGGTCGCGGTCTGTTTAGCCTAATGTGTGCATAAGATGACCGTAGAGCGACAAATCAAACCGCAGTGGCGTATAGTTCTTTCATATATCTTATATGAAACGAGTTTCGGTTTTATATCTGTGGTATAAAATTAACAACTTTTTTCGGTTCTTATAGAGTGTTTTAGATACTTCAATTATGTAAAAACAATATGTTATAAAGTAGAAATCTGAAATAAGTTATGCAATTAAGAGCAATAATGAAAACGTAATCGAAGGATATTTTCGCTATGATTGGTATTATTCAAGAGGCCTGATGGCCAATTGCCCAGCGATCTGGCATTTGGTACCATGGGCTTCACGTTCGTATCCTGGCGGTGGCATGAATGTTTGTGATTGGTTCGGAATCCACGTTAAACTGTAGGTCAAGGTCTAATTAGCCTGAAGTGTGCAAAAATTGACAGTAGAATGACAAACCAAACAAAACATTGCCTGATGGACTGGTGATACGTGCCGTAGGTAGCTTGCTCGCTTGGATGCCTGTAGTGGTTTGGAATCCACTTTAAACCGTAGGCCCAGATCTAATATGGCTGTTGGGTGTAGGGGCTAACAACCCTACTCCGTATAAACAAAACATCTCCTGTTTCAGAATCTGCCAGTTCTCAAACGGGCATGGTTCAGCGTGGATTTTAGTGCCAGAGAGTTAAGTAGTTAGTTTTTGTATTCTTCATACACCCGTACCAAACTGACCTCGGACGTCAAAGAAATGTTATGAATCCAGTAAAAAAAATTTGACTAAAATTACAAGAAAAACAATTAAATGAATTTTTTAATATTATATTTAATGCACTTTTAAAAACAGAGAACAAAATTTTAAAATTAATCCATTGTAAGCAGATATTATGGTAAAAAAATAATAGTAATAAGTAAATAAGAGAAGAATTTTAAAACTAGTTAATATTTCAAATGAATTTGTATTTATTATATAATCTCTTATTTTTTCACAGCCATTTTAAGTATTTTATACATAGATAAAACTCTTTTCTCAAATGTTTCTCAAAAAATTGGCTAAATATTTGTCTGTTCTTGCAGTAATACTCATTTAATAGTAATACTCAATTTTTACTGGGAACAGCGTGTTCCCCTGTCTCTTTTTTTTGTTGTTGTTGTTGAGATAATTCAATTCTATTCTATTCAGTTCACAAATTCTCGATGAGATATATGTCTGGGCTTTGGTGTGATATTTCTATGAAGCGAGTATGATTATATAGGAATCGGGAACTCATTTTTTATTTGGGATCCTTATCTTGATAAAATTACTATGTTGCCGAGAGAAAGTTGTTTTACACATTGTGGCAAATTTGTTTTTAAAATGCCGAGTTATACATTCTGATCCGTTCCTCCATCAATAAAATACAGCGTTTCCTGGATTAGCATCTGTAATTGAGCCTCAGACCATTACTGATCTGCCATCCTGCTTCACTGTTGCTGTCTAGTTTTTGTGCGCAACTCTTCATTCGATATTCTCCAGACAAAAGATTTGTCATCTGATCCCAAAAATGTTGAATTGTGTTCTCGTCAGTAATTAATACGCTTACAATTGAGAAAATTCATTGTTTTTATTTTGAATTTGTTTTACGGTTATTTATGAAGGGCTTTTGTCTAACTTTCTGTCTGTATCTATCTCAATGCCTTAGGGAGCATATTTTGTGCAGTTATTGGACTGGCTTGATTAGTTGTAAATCGGAAGATCTTAAAAAGGGACAGTAAACTTAAACAAAACGATTAGAAAAATTTCAATTCAGTCCTCAAACTAAGTATGTGTCTTTATATTGAACATCGCTGGGCCTTATACACCACTTATGTATACCACGAACTGCCTACCGTTGGTTGAAGAGGGGAGGATATTGCCTTCCAGGACAGCTTTTAGGGCCAACTGCCTCCCATTTGCGCGTTAGCGGCCTCGTGGCCAAGTGGCTAGCGCTCTGGCCTTTGGTATCCCAGGCTTCAGGTCCGAATCCTGGCGGTGGCATGGATGTTTGTGAGTGGATTCCGAACCACGGTAAAATAATGATTATGGTTAGGAAAATGGATTATTAAAGGAAACCCTGTTTATTCAATAAAAGGAGGGACATTAAGAGTTATCTATATGAAGACTGAAAAAACTCTTGAATTTTCAACGAAACAGGATGGCTGATTCTGGATCCCCAGCGTATGTCTTAGGATACCTACGTCAGGGAAAGAAGAAGAAAGAAAAGCGTTTAACGTTTCAAAGAGAGAAATGGAAAAACAAGTTACCGGTTACTCCTTCCAAGCAGGTAACTCGGAAAACGGCGAAACCACAGTGGTTCGGAATCCACTTTAAACTGTAGGTCCCGGTCTGTTTAGACCAAAGTGTGCATAAGATGACCGTAGAGCGACTAACCAAACCAAACCCATTTGCGTGTAGTATAGCAGGAAACCCTTAAAATTCCCACCAGACAGCCTAATTATCGATGCGAGATGCTTTCACACATTGCCACAATCGCCATGGAGACTCCTTTGTTGTTTTTTTTGAAGGACTAGTTAGCTTACAGTGTGAAATTTTTTTACTTTCCAGTCTTTCTGTAGAGGGACAAACCAAACCTCGTTTCTATAAATGACATCAATGGCTACCACTAGTAGATTTGAACTTCTGTTCCCTTGCTTGATAGATGCGCACGTTACTCCCGGGCCGTGAGTCGAGCAAATTAAGTATTTACAATAACAGTTAAGTTTAAAATATTATATATATATATATATTATATTTTAAACTTAACTGAGTTTGACGGCCGTACCATGCTGAATATACCGGTTCTCGTTAGATCACCGAAGTCAAGCATCATTGGGCGCGGTCAGTACTTGGGTGGGTGACCACCTGGGAACACCGCGTGCCGTTGGCAAATTTGGGACCTGAATGGCCGAGTGTCTAGCGCTCTGGCGCTCGGTGCCACAGGTTTCGGGTTCGAGTCCCGGCGGTGCCATGGATGTCTGTAGTGGTTCGGAATCCACTTTAAACCGTAGGTCCCGGTCTCCTATGACTGTAAGAGCGTCACGGTGCCAAAGTCAGACTACTACCTACGGGTGCTCCATCACAACAGAAGCTGCTTCCTTCCCCTTCAATCATGAGCACGTATGGGCTCGTGGGCTTGGCCAGCCAAGTGGGATAAGAAACAACAACAACAAACTTAACTGATATTGTAAATACTTAATTATACTTAATATATATATATATATATAATTTAAGAGCAGAGGTAAATAAAATGAAAGTTATTTTTAAAAAATGCCAAATTAGAAATGTTTTTTTGAAAGCGAATTTTCATCGATTCATAATGACGGACATTTGATTTAATATTTATGTGCAGGTTTTTAAAAATTTCTTTAGTTTTTTGACTCAGCCTAGTTTAATATGTACTCATCATGTACTATTTATGATTATTAAGGAAAAACCATTCGTAAAAAAAAATTCCAACCGTATTTAAGTTTAAAATAAATAAATCCACATTAGTATGTGAATTTCTAATACATCGCCTACAGTGAAAAAATGCTATTTTATTTATGCGTGTAGCACTTTTCATTGATTGTGAAGATGCAAAAAAATA